CGATTCATATGATCTGGATTACGCATAGCTTCTCTGCGATTTACGCTCCGTATACCTTAAGCGTAGCTTGGACCCCCCCCCCCCAATACATTTTGCTGGATCCGCCACTGCTCATATGACAGTATAGAAGTTAGAAATAGTAATAGTAATCGTAGAATAGCAACAAATTGGCAATGAAATTATTAGCCAACATATTCTTCAATTTATAACTACATGTACTGTATTAATCTCAATGTCCCTTCTAGAATAATATAACATAAATTGTATACAATTTTAAATAATACTAAATAATAGTGAAATAATATACATAATCAAATGAAATACGAGCCAGGTTTGAAAAAAAAGGCTAGAAAACTACACTTTTTTTTTTATTTATACTCAGAAAAAAACATATAATCAACATATATCGAAGAGCATATTTATAACATCTGGTTCTCAGCTGTATAAATGTTATCATTCTCTCCAATTATTTCTGTGTAGGCCAATTTTTTCCCCATATCCACAAAAATTGCACTTGCTATTTACACCAAAATTAAAATTGATTGACATTACATAGTGATAGATACGAGTCTTTGAAGATTATCAGATAAAAAAAATAATTATAAGTGAAATTTAACTAAAAATATACTTAGAACAAGAACCAAAATCTAACTTGGCTGAGATTCACGAGTGGTTTACATAATATCCATGTTTGAAAAAAATGTTATATTGTAACAGCAAGAACAAATGTCAACAAGGTCAACAACAACAACAACAACAACAACAACAACAACAACAACAACGAGACAGACATTCATCCCTCATATACCTGACCCGAATCTATGATGAAACGAACATTTGTGAAATAGCTAAACTAATCCAAAATTCAGAAAAAAGATTATCTTCCTTGCTCTTAAGAATCCACTCGGGAATAATATTATCTCTCTTGTTCTTGGGCATATCAAGGATTATTATTATCCCTCTATTCTACATATCTTTTCCATCTAGCTCTGTATGCTGCTCTGTTGATTAGCATTTTTCTCGATTAGACAGGGTATTTACAAAGACTCTTCTTGGTCGTCTTGACCCAAGACACTAGAGGACTTTACATCCCAGAAGTATCCGAAAATGAGGTTTTTTATATGACTTAAAACCCCTCGCCCCAATCCTTCTATAGATACATGTATATACATTTCGCAGAAACTTTCATACTAATAGACCTTTAGTGATTCCTGTAAACTATTTTTCTCAAAATCCGTAATGGGAAAAAGGGACCATACCACCATTTTCATATGCTATAAAAAATCCCTACACACGTGTGCTGACCTTTCGGGATTTATAGTCATTTGCATTTTGAAATTGAGCAGATGGGTCAACACGAACAATCATACAAAAGCCAATGACAGACATCGAGATCACGACAGTTGTGTGGCCTCCGAACATCGCTGTTGTATTTTCTTCCTAGCACAGCAAAACTGGGACAATGTTGCATCATTGATATCACGTGATCTGTGTAAAAGTCAGACAATTTCTGAAAAGGTCTATATGTCCTGAGACATTTATTTTACACAAGTCCTAGAACATCTTAAGAAAAAATAAACAGGGCATTTTGTTTCCACTACTGGCTCTATTCCTATACAGAACACAATGTAGTGTATAGGGATAATACGTCCACGTAATAATTACACTCAATAGATAATAACATTTATAAACCACATTTTGTCTTTAGAAAAGTACATCTTTTTGAGAGTTTAATCATGCTGTCTACGTCATCTTGGATATAACAATCCTTTGCCCCATCTGATTTCTACCCGTGTCAGTCATTTGTCTTGTGTTCTTAAATTTCCCTATACGACTTTTGTAACTACCTCACCAAGCTTCTCTTGGAAATCTCTCAAACCTGTGAATAACTTAACATCTTATTTATACTAACCAAACTACATTTGTCTCCTGTTGAATATAGAGAACTAAAAATAATTTATCCTGGTTTCCCATCAAGCTAAAAAAAAAAGAGACAGATATTACTCCTGTTTTCAAACTAGGCACGCTGATGCCCAGTTCCAGCCACACAACTTGACTGTGTTAATTTGCCTACATCAATCTGTTACACATTTCTTAACCCAAATATCAAACCGAGTACTACAAATGAAAATATCTTTGAACTAAATATTAACAACATTGCTTATTTGATCAGAAGAAATCTGCAATAAACATGAACATTGAAAATTGTGTATGTAATAATAGTAAAGCCGAACTCCTTGGCCTTCAAAGTATACATGACAACACCATTTGGTGTCATTAAGATACTGGTCAAGAATATGCCGAAGTTGAGAAACAGCGAAAAATGTATGCCACTGCAGATTGTGGGTATCAACTAGTCACTTTTATTCAGTCGGTAGAGGGCGCTATAGCTACCACACAACTCCCAACAAAACAGAGTTCCTGTTGCTTTAACAGTAAACAAAACTGAAATGAGTCAGTCATTTTAAATCCGAACATAAAAGAAATGACACGATGTATAAAGTATCTGTAAAGTTTGATTACATTTATTTCAGAGATATGGCACTAGAATAGCATTTGCATTCAGCTATTTTGAATCTGATCTGAAAAAAATATATATAACCAAGATCTGAGCCCATAATGGCAGAAATGCTTGATTTTGATGCACTATTAGCATAAGAATAGCCACCATTCAGAGTCAGACTTTCAATAACATTAATGTGCGTACGAGTGACATCATGTACACATGAAGTTTGAACTTGATTGGTCAAGGCATGTCAGTAATACAGCTCCAGAACCACATTTATTAAAATGACCACAAGTTGACCATTTTGAATCTGATCTGAAAAATAAAATGTGTATCAAAGATGTGTAACAAAATCCAACCATATATGTCCAAGATTTGAATTCAGAATGGTAGAAATGCTTTATTTTGATGAATTTTTAACATCAAAATGATCGAAAGAATCAGATTGCGAAACAATTAACATGCAAATGTATCCCTAGATACATGATGTGTGTGTAAAGTTAGAATGTGATCGGCCAAACCAACGGAAGGATGCATGAAGGTCCTGCATCCGAATTGGGACTAATGAGACTAACAGTCTCCAATAAATTTAGACCTAATATTCATGGTTTTCCATTTTATTCATTTCTCATTGACATTAAAATTATGTGAAGACAGACTTTGCACAGATTAAAAAAAATATCATGAACACTGAGCTTGAATTCTTCTCTTCAACTTAAATACAATAAACATTTTCTTTATATCAATGTATTGACTTCTAACAATCAATACACCCAAATGTACAGTACCATTTACTTGCTATCAGTTGAGGCTGAAACACTTTGATGATATTCATCTGAAGTATGGCCCCTTAAATCAGGAAATGCAACATGTTCATAATCGCTACATGTTAAAGTGATTTAAAAATAAAACCCAGCAAATAATGTGGACACATTAACAGTATTTCACCAGAATTCTCACTGAAACGTGTAACACAAAACAAGTTCAGCAACATCCGAATAAATACATAACTAGACCAATCAGCATGCAGTATTTACAGATAAGCATTCGGATTGGTTAAATATATCATACAAATTAGCATAGTAATGAGATTAATCTTTCTGTATTCTGCTCTAAAAATATGGCCCATGCTTAAACAGGCTTTGCAAATGTCCTTAACAACAAAGAATGGCACATGACAGGCTGATATTATACATTTATATAAAGTCAAGATTGTACAAACCTGACAACATTTGTGACTTGGAACACACTGAATTCAAGTGTCAACTCAGATTGTGTAAGACTAAGAATTACAGCAAAAATAAAATAAAAAGCGTTTGATATTTCATCTTGATTGAAACAATAGTTTATGATTTATTTTGGCAGCAAACGGTTAGTGTTCATTCCTGACAAATCACCTGTACGTTTGAAAATCGGATAAATTTTGATCTTGGCAAAAATAAATTGATTGCATTTCATTTTCATACCCTGTGATGTCGAGAAGGCTGTTCTCGGAATATGTTTGCCTGCACAGGGAAAGAATATTTGTGAATCAAGTTTATCACATGATTTCAATGAGATCCTCCTCAAATGTTGCCATGGTGATACACTTCAATATATCTTTGTGTAGCCCGATTCAAGTTAACTGAATTGTTGGTGTATTCTTAATGTGTAAACACAGCATCACATCATACATATTTCTTCATCTACTTTTCATGAAAATAAGGTATTGTACAGAACAGGACAAGTGATTAGTTCATATTGCTGAAATAGTTTTTGTGAAGTCTTCATTCTCAGTGTTTGTCACCCAGAAAATCTACATTAATCTGGTAATAAACATAGGGATAGTAATCTTGATTGGATAATGCCAAACCAGGAATATCTTCCATCATCTATGAGAAATAAAACAGTAGATTAATCCGGGAAAAAAAAACAATTATGATAATCAACCATAAATTAGTGATATGCTACCTACTCAATGTCATGGTACTAATACACCCATTTGTCTTTCAGAATTATGTAAAATTGTGATTCACGTCCCCTTGAACCTTTTCGCAACCCTTAACTCAACCTTCTGTTAATTTATGGCATTCTTGTTCACCGCAAATAGAGTTATTGGTCATGTATTATTAAATTGTCGTCAAAATGCTGTATTGGGCATTTCTGCACTACATGATGCAACATTCTAGCCATCGGCACACTGACCCAAAGATAAGTAAACTATATCAAGGGCTGTCTAACACAACATCACAAACAATTACTAGGAACATCTGCTAGTACAAGCTAATAAACTCCTAAATGTTAATATCATCTAATGCAAAAGATTTTATGAAAAAAGTTCACTGAATATAATAGACAGAGGCAGACATTGAACAAGCAACTATACTCACATCAGTATCAGCTTTAAATGCACTTGATTCGAGGTGACTGTACAGCTGTTTTAATTGATCTCTAAGCTTGCGATGTGTTTTTTTATATGGTTGTAATAACATGGCTTGAAAGTTAACTGGCAGGCCATACCTAAAATAAGACCAAACAACTTATATATATGGCAGTAAAAAACAAGTCATTGAAAATGACACAGTCCGGGTTAAATTTTTGAAAGTTCTCTTTGTGCTCGTCATATTAAAGTGGAGGGGTTGTCGCGAGCGTGTCCTTGAAACTTGAGTTCCAAGTGGCGTATACAACAGATTGTTTATTTACATCAAAACACGTGTTCCGTGTAGTAGTAATATGGCCAAATTATAAAAACAGTCGTTATTCGGCCATCTTTGATCTGATTATGAAACACACTGATATGTATGATGTATGTGCCAAATACGAATGAAAATGGTACATAAATTGTGGAAATATAGTATTAAGGCCAAAAAGTCAGATGGCTGTCAATCTGCCATCCTTGACCAGATTTTGAAACAAATTGTCATGGATATGCATCCTAACATGTATGAAGTACATGTATGTGCCAAATTTGAATTAAAACTGACAGAGCACTTCCAAGATACCGCATAAAAAAAAAGAAGAAAAGATGCCTGCCAATCTACCATCTTTGATCCAATTGCGAAATAAATCGTCATGGACATGTATCCTAACATGTATAATCTATGTACCAAGTTTGAATGACAACTGACAAAGCATGGCCAAAATACAACATTTTCAAAAAACAAGATGGCTGCCAGTCGGCCATTTTGTGCATATGTCCCACATAAGGTACTAGGCACATGCAAAGAATGAACAGAATCGGTCCACAGGATTCTGAAACATGAGTCTGGACAGACTGATGCACGGACGGACACACGGACGGAGGGACAGATTCAGGAACTCACGGACGGTCGGGACATGTATCCTAACATGTATGATCTATGTACTAAATTTGAATGAAAACTGACAAAGTATGTCCGAAATACGACATTTTCAAAAAGCAAGATGGCTGCCAGTCGACCATCTTTGATCCAATTGTGAAATAAATCGTCATGGACATGTATCCTAACATGTATAATCTATGTACCAAGTTTGAATGAAAACTGACAAAGCATGTCCAAAATACAACATTTTCAAAAAAGATGGCTGCCAGTCGGCCATTTTGTGCATATGTCCCACTAGTACTAGGCACATGCAAAGAATGAACGGAATCGGTCCAAGGGATTCTGAGATATGACTACTGCCGGACGCACGGAGACCGAATTATAAGTCCCCGTTTTCGGACTTCATCCGAACGGGGACTAATAAAGGTACACACTTGACCTAGAATTACACTGGCGAAATAGTCGTGTGCATGAAGCAACTTGTTATGCTCTCAGTAATATGAACATAGATTTTCAACAATCTCACCTTTGAAAACATAGCAACTGTATTAACAGTAAGATTTCAGGGTATGACGTTAGAACTGATAAGACTTGAAGAGTCATAACACAGATCCACCAAGGAGGTGGATGTTCCATGCTTCAGGGAGAAAGAACGGACTGATGGAATCGAGTGTTTTAGTGCAGGATCAAGTGATAATCTACATAAACAGTTTGACTAACTGTATTTTTTCAATACTAGGTCACATATCGAAGACAATCCTGGCAAGTGGGAACAAAAAAATGAATCAACAATTCTTTGTGATCAACATTACAATGCAACATTTTGTTCATGACCAGTTGTCACATGTTACACAACTCTGATTGGGTATGCTTTAAGATCGTGAAACCATGTGATTCTGATAATGTATTGTTTGTATACCCACCTCAAAACTGATTCTACGAACACTCGTAATGCGTGGACATGAATCCAGGCTGTGAACGCTTCACTGAAATTCACTTTTAACCATCTCACCAAAGGACCCTGAAACACAAATGGTATCAATTAATTCAAGCACTCGCCTGGCTGTCATTGATATGACATGTGACTGTTGTTATATTAAAATTACAGCAGCTATAGAAGCTCTGGCACATCATACTTCAATCACAACATGTGAAGAGCCGGCACAAGGTTCTTACATACAATCACCAGTGAAAATGGTCTCACAAATAACACAGATACTTACAAATGATTTTTTCTTATCAGAGACTAATTTTATTATCTCATTTTTATCAGCTGTCAATTCCTCTTCATTGTAGGCAAAATCCCTCACAATAAATCTGCAGAATACAGTTATATTAATTAAGTAGGAATAACAAATTAAATATTTTCTAAATTCTGTATCTGATTTGTTTGCATGATTCAGGAAGCAGAACAAATGTGGGAATTACAAAGACAGGTCTATGGTTTAAAGAGTAATTCATGACCTTGGCACATACAAAACTCACCATGAGGTTTGCTACTAGGAGGTCACAGTTGGTTTTGTCACTGTTTATCAACACGAATCTTGCATATATGTGTGGCAGAATGACCTACTCCCGTTACTAATTCTATCTATTCTCACCTGTTTTCTCTAGCATGGTGCTTGTATTCATCCACTACTTTTCTGAACATTGTCACAGTAAACAAACCATATTCATTGTCTTCATAGATAAGACTAAAAAAAACAACTATTATTATACATCTGTCACCGTAACGCCATATTAGTTACAGCGTGCCGTAATTTTGTGGTATTTTCATCCTGCCATATTAGGAAATGCAAATTCCAAATACGGAATGACTATGCGCGTAAGCGTCCTCTTATAATAAAAACAAACATGGCTGCCACCAGGGTTTGATCGGACTCCACACAAAGAAGTTTGCTGAGTCTGTTCTAAACATTTTGGATTTCGGCATTCTCATGATGTATTCTTAGCAGTGTTCGAAATTAACGTCGGTCCGTCGGCCTCACGCCGACAGTGGGTGTAAAGGGCCTAGAGCTGTGAAAAACCATCAGTCCTTGTGACCGACCATAAATTTATATTTAAAAAAAAACGTTCCATTATTTAGTGTGATTGTAAGACCAAATATATAATAAATATTGATAGTAACTCCAGAATTGTTTCAAAATTGCGTTTTCTTGCACGTTTGATCAACAAATGGCATCACTCATCGACCTGGGCATACAAGTCATAATTCATGCTTGCCGAATGATCGCGAAATGCGCCGAACCTGGGAACTGTAACAAA